TTATTTTCATTGCTACTTCATCACTGTCATTTTGCTACTGTGATGAATCGGGCAAGCCCTGTGAAAGGGTCATTTGACCCCCAAAGGGGTCGTGACCCACAGGTTGAGAACCGCTGAACTAGATAGATCCCAGCACCTACAAACAACTGCTCTGATGGAATCACATTAGAAGGTCCTGGATGAAATGGTAGAAAAATGTGGAACAAAACTCCAGATAATAAAAGGGACCAAGCTTCCTCATTGGATAGAGATGGGTGGAGCTCCAAACCCACCCCATGACTCAGTTTGCAGACACACAGTAGACAGGTGTGTAAGGGGAACGATAACAGTAGTGAAGTACACGCACCTTAGACTAATCAGCCACTTGAGATCAGGGTGGGAACACCTGCCCAGGGAGGAGGAGTGGAGCAGGCGATAGGGCAGAGGTCTGTACGGCCTGATGAGTGTTGAGGGTGTGTGGAGGGGATTGCAATGACGCAGGAGTTGTTGAGTGAGAAACGGATGGCCTGCTTTTCAAACCTTCACCTAATGCACACTTTCCTAAAATATAAAATAAAATGTAAACTGAATACATATCTAGAATAAACACAAGTGGCTTGACCCAGAAATGCCACTTCTTAGCGTCTTTCCACATTAACCCCAAATGTAAAATTCTAGTTAACCAGATGAGACCTTGCAAAATACTGGGACTAACCCAGATGTCCAGCACTAAGAGGCCAATTAAGTGAAATGGGGCCTGTCCACATCATGCACATCACCCAGGGCAAAGAACGAGAGGACTCCCGAGGCATTGACAGGGAAAGGTCTCTAACATGGGGGAGGGACTTCAAAGAGGTCATAGGAAAAGTTCATTATCTTTTCATTTCACTTTCCCACAAAAAATCTTGATGTCCTCTCAAGTATTTCAAAAATAAGAATATATTCATCTCTACATACCAAAAAAAAAAAGCAGAGAAGTGCACAAAAGGTCGTTAAACTAGCTATTTATAGAGAAGAAATAAGAAGCGTGTGATTGAAAGAATGGGTGATGGGTGAGCTTTTCCACTGTACATGCTTTTGTGGGGGTATTTTTGAACCATGAAGATAAAGTATTTGTTTCAACCAGTACATTTAAGAGAGGATAAATTTCTACTTGTCTTTGTTCTTGAATTCCAGTGCACTATGGTTAGATGTGGGCTCTTTTGCCTGTTTGTTTTAGATAGGGGAATTTCCATCTGCGGTCTCTTACACCTCTTACAGCCCCTTCTTTTTTCATAATGAAAATGCAAGTCTATTATTAATACATTGTTAACTAAATCCTGTGATTACTTAATTTGCCATTTTCACTCCAGCCCTCGGCATCAACATTTTAATTTTCTATCTCTTTCTGATATCTTCTGGGAGAGCTCCTAAAGATGGGCTTCCACTCATTGATTGTTCTGGGCTGGGTCCATTCGGCCATTTAATGCATCTACTGAATTCTTCATTCCATTCAGTTTCCTGATCCCATCCATCCGTCCAACTCCTTCTCTTCCATTCACGCTTGATTCTGCGGCCTGTTTCCAACATCCATCTTCCTCTCTCCAGAGCCAAGGTTTGGGTTTACTGGACCTCCTGATTCTGTCGAGATGTTGCTTCTGTGTCCTGTGGTGTCGCTCGCTCGTCCAGTCTGTTGTCCTTCATGTATGATGGTTGCCCTCCTCGGGCCTCTCATTGTTTCTCCTTATCCGCTCATGAGTCCTCGAATCCACCAATTCCCCTGAAACTGCTCCTGAGACATTCGATGCCCCTGCCCTGTTCTGCATGCGTATGTAATTCAGTGTGTCCTTGAGCTTCTGCTGGTGTCCTCTGAGCTCAACCACTCGCTTTTGGCCTCTGTCACCAGGCAGCATTATTCTTTCGTAAGCCTTCTTTTCTAAGGGTTGTTTTCCTGCGCGGTGGCTGCCTGTCCTGTGGAAGGACCACCTTGAGCACAGTGGAATCTGTTCCATGCAGCTCACCCCTCCAGCCTGGCATGAAGGTGGCCCTGGGAGGTTGCTGCCCTGTGGATTGGTTTGCCATGCAGTGGCATCAGGCTGTCCGGGGGCCACGTGTCAGAGAGAAAATAGGAATATCTAACCGGCATCCATAGTACTTAGCCCTTTTCTGCTAAGGACTGCCATCCGCCTCCCCCTCCCCACCTTCCCACCCCCAATCCCATCCTCCTCACCACCTGCCACCACCTGTCACTCAGGGGAGGCTCCCTATTCCTGGGAAGAGTCACAGTCTGAGAAACCCAGTCTACCCTGTCCTATGGGGTCGCTGAGAGCCGGCATCCACTCGGTGGCCGGGAGTTGGGAGTTTAAAGGGTCGCCTCACTTTGGGTTGTGTAGTTTTCTTCTAGTTTTTGCATTCAGTTCAAGTGGCCGTGGATCTGTCCATCTCCCTCCGTTCCACAGCCGCTCCAGGGACAGAAGCCAACCACCTCCCCCGATTTGCAACCTTGGGGGGCGCCTGAAATGAGGCTCATCTTTCATTGTGGCTTTTCTCCTCTTGCTGCAGATGAAGGAGACTCTCCAAGCCTTTCCTTCCTACTTCTTCTTCTTCCATAAAATGAAAAGTTTCAAATACACGATCTCAAGTTGTTCAAACTTCAGCATCCTTAGAATCCGTGGCAAAGGAAGAGGTGACAGATAAAACCGACGGAGCTATTTTGAGATCCCACCGTTACCAAGGAAATAGAGAGGTTTGCCAGGGAATACCCAACAAGAGACCATGATTAGCAAGAGTGGATGTCAGGTTGAGAAGGCGGCATGTCAATCAAGTTTCAAGGAAGTAGGAGAAAGAAGGGGGAGGAAGAAGTTGGCAGAGGTTCACAAGAGAAAGAAAGCCGCTGATTAAAGGAAGGTTTGGGGGAGAACAGATGAACCACCTTGGGGGCAGATGCAAGATTTGTGTTTAAGTGATTACATGTTTGAGACATACCAAGAGGTATAAAGGATGATGCAATAAACATGTGTGCTCTCAAGCGCGATCTAAAACCCATCGTCAACAGCTTGCCCTTGGCAGCTGCCTCCCCGCCCTACAAAATGCCCCCTTCACTGGACGCCAGGGAGCGAGCCCCATGGCCTCTCGGAGGGTCCACCTTCTCAGTGATAAAATGGAGATCAAGGCAAGGGATCATGTCCACTTTGAGAGGGTGGTTTGGGGACGTCAGTGAATTTGGTGAGGTTAGTACCATTCTGAACCAAACTCACTGTTAACGGAGTCAGTTCTAGCCGGAGAAGGGAGTGGACCCCAGTGAAGATGGGCCTCACAGTGACCCTATAGGGCAGGGCAGAACTGATATGGGTTTTCAAGACTGTAACTATTGACTGGGGTAGAAAGCCTCCTCTTTCTTCCAGAGAGTGGCTGGCGGTTTCAGACTGCTGATCTTGTGGTTAGCAGCCCACTACGCTCCCAGGGCCTCCATTTTAGTTGATTCAAGTGTTAAATAAGCACTTTGAGGGGCCGAGCTCCAGGTGCAACCAGTGAGAGAAATACACCCTTTGAGGCACATACAGGTGAGGTCTTGTTGCTCTGACTCTGCTGGTTCTGATTCATGCAAGTGACTTAAGTGGAGTAGTTAACGCGGGTTTCGGGGGCTGTGGAGCGTGAGTGGGTGGGCTCTGAGTGGGATGAGGTGCTGTCCTGCTGCCTCTGCTGAGCCCACGGGGCTGGTGGAAAGGATGGGCTTGTGTTGAAGGCCTGAGTATTCTCCCCTAAGTGGCCTGTTCTGGAGAGGGGTGTGGGGAGGATGGAGAGGTGGGAGAGGGCACCCCCGCCCACATACACACTCCAACCCCCCCCCCAAACAAAAGCCTCACTCAATTCTGACTCATAGGAACCTTATAGAACAGAGTAGAACGGCCCATGTAGGTTTCGGAGACTGTAACGCTTTACTGGATCAGAAAGCCTCATCTTTCTCCCTTCCTGGCACTGGTGGGATCGAACGGCTGATCTTGCAGTTGACAGAGGCGGTCGGCAGGAGGCGCTAAAGGACCGGCCATGCGGTGGACAGGACGGTTGGTGAGCGTGCGCGAGCTCCCGCCCCCGCCGGGCTGCAGACCCCCGCCGCCCCCCCACCCCCACCCCCTGGGCTTCCTTTCCAGACCGAAGGGGGCGCGTGGCTCGCGTTTTAGCGGAGGCAGCCCGAGCAGACAGTCTGCCGTTACCTCCCTACCACAGCCTAGCGGGAGCCCCAGGAATCCGAGGCACAACCTGAGACCTTGGTCCTCGAGGCCGAAAGAGTGTGCTCATTGACCTTGGTCCGGTGGAGGAAGGTTTGCAACCCTTGTAAGGAAAACATTTAAAATGTGTGACAGAGACATGACCTGGCTTTGTTCACATTTCTTCCAACACGCAATGGTCCCAGACGGAGGCTCAAAACAGCATGGGTCCTGGTCCTCCTGTCCTGTCTCCCCTACACAGCCTTTAGGCATTACAGAGGGGTCAACCCAGCCCTTCCCTCCCCCACATCTCTGGCCACCCCCACCCCGGCCTTCCTCCCACCTTCCTCCTGGGCCATCTGTCAAAGACCCACCTGAACCTAGGTAAAAGATGCCCGCAAACAGGGCTCCCTCACCGGGATGCCTCCTCCTAGCCCCCTGGCCCTGCCTCCTGGCCATGAACACCATGACAACCAGCCCCTACTCAGGCCTAACTTCTTCCCAGAATTCCTGAGGGGCAAGATGAGGGAGTAGGAGCCCAGCGAGGATGGGACCAGTAGGGGCCAGGCCTGGGTTCCGTGGGTGGTCCCCAGACCAAAGAGCCGGTTGCTAAGTAACCAGATCTCACATCATTGGCCTAGCTTCATTCTGTCTGCAGCCATCAAGGGCTGAGTCGCTTAAGTACCCATCTCCTGCCCCCACCCCAGGGGGACCCTGAAAGCCGGAGGAGAGAAGAAACCAGGGTTCAGCCCCTAGCCCTTGGGACCCACCACTTCGCTGTGAGGCTCCAGGTTCCTGGGCTGTGAGGCCGCCGCCGCCGCCGCCGCCGCCGCCATGAGTCTGGGAATCATGGAAGAGGAAGATCTGGCTGAGTACTTCCGGCTGCAGTATGGGGAGCGGCTGCTGCATTTGCTGCAGTGAGTGTGGGGGGTGGGGGGGGGGCACGCCCTTCACCTCTGCCCTCTGTGCCTTAGAAGCCCCCTTCCCCCATCCCTCCCCTTCCCTCTCCCAACCTGCCCCCATCACCCTGCCACCCATCCACCCAGCATCCCCATTCCCTCCTCTTGTCTGTCCTCCTGGGCCAGCTGACCCTCTGAATGCCAGCGCGCCCCTTTCTTCCTCAGTCCTTTGATTCAGATGTGGGGAGAAGGTCCCCCTGCCTTCCCCAGTGGCATCTCTCTTCACTGCCCACCCCCAACCTGCACCAGATGCCCACAACCCACAGGTCCCTCTTGCTGGGCTCTCGGGCAGGAAGTTCCCCTCGATGGAGGAGCAGTCGGAATCCCCATCCATCCGGCTGCTGGAGAAGAAGAAGGAGGCTACCATCATGCACCATGCTATGGAGGAGAAGAAGGAGGTGGGAGCTGAGGGGACGGGGCGCTGGGCTGCAGGGCTCTCCCCCAGGAGCCCCGCTCTTCAGAGCTATCCTTGTCCTGGGGGGCTCTGCTAAGAGTATAGCTGGGGAGGGAGAGGCTGGACCCTTCCGAGCTGGAGGAGAGGAGCCGGGAGCCAAGGGTACTGAGATCTATCTCAGTACTCGCGGGGGTGGGTCTTCATCTCTCTACTCACCCCCCTGACCACCACCACCACCAACCCCCAGGCATTTAAACGCAAGATGGAAGCCTTGAACCTGCGCTGGGAGGAGCTGGGCATCAAGGAAGCCCAACTGAAAGCCCACATCCAGAAGTTTGAACAATTCATCCAGGTACGTAGGGGTGTGGCCTACTGCAGCAGGCTGGTGGGACCCACCCTTGCAGCCAGCAAGTTGATCTCCTCCACCACCTTCTCCTCCTCCTCCATTTTGCTGACTCTCTCCCTGGGCTAGATGCTTGGCCCATGCTCAAGGCAGGCTGCCCCCTCATTACCACTCTGTCTGGAATTCTCTATCTCCTGGTTGGACTTGGTCGCTTCTAGATTCCTTTTCCCTCTTTCCTTGTCAGTACCAAGTACACAGGACAGCCAGTGAATGAGTGAATATCCCAGAGTCAAGGCTGGGGACTTGGGGATACAGAGATGAATAAGGCAGGGTCTTAGTGCCCCCGCCTCCCCACCTCTAGCTCCATCCTCGTGTTGAAGATCCAGGCAGGAAGTGGTCAAAGAGGCAGGCACCAGAGTCCATTCCCAGACAAGCCTTATCAATGGGTCCTTAGAGGAGGGATTTAATCATCTTCAAGTCCAGCCAGTACTTACAAACCCTTAAGGCCTGGGCCCAACTCCAGGGGCTCATTGCTGCTCTTGGCCGGAGTACAGGCCTCTCTCAAGCATCTTCGGCCACCCTTGTGCCTCAAGTGGTAGGAAAAAGAAGCTGTGGCCCGGGGCACCAAGGATGTTGTTCCAGAAGTCTGGGTTCTTGTGACCTCGCTTTCAGCAGATGGCCAGGCAGACCTGGGCTGTCCAGGGTTTCCGGATGCCCACTTAGGGACCCCCAGTCCTCTCCTGGGTTTACGGAGCAGATCCAATCCCTTGAGCACTTTGCTCTGTGTCATCCAAATGCTGGCACCCCACACACCAACCACGAGTACTCAACGGAGGCCCTGGGGGAGACAAGGCCACACAGTGCCGGTGGAGGGGTGGGTGCGTCCCCTGCGCCGTGGAGAAAGGACACGGCAGTAGGGGCAAGAGTGGAAGGCAGGGCTGGACTGGTCAGAGCAGCTGAGTCTCTGGTTGATTTGGATATCGAGTTCCTGCCCCAGCCTCTCCAGCCCCAGTCTGAGCCCCTAAAGCAACACTCTCAGGGGTGACTCATCGAGTCAGGCCCTCTGGACCAGACCCAGGATCTCCCTGTAGCTCAAGCACAGCGCCCTCAGCGTTTGGAAGAAAGAGGAGGGCCGTTGTCTCTCACATGTAGACAGTTGGAGGCACCAAGGGCAAGGTTGGGGGAGAATCCAGATCTCTCAGCTCTGGGCCCAGGAACCCACCCCTGACAAATGATGGCCAGGATGAGCAGAGACCTTCTGAAAAGTCCACCTCTGGGCTTGTGCAGTCTTCCCCAGGGCTGAGTGCTCTCCAAGCCTGAGCCCGATGAATGTAGCCCTTCCCCAGTCCACCGGAAGTCTAGAGCCCACCCCCACCCCGCCACAGGATCAGAATCACTTCCTGTCCAGCCCCACAAGGCCACTTCTGACCGCTGACCGCCACCTCTGTCATCCCAGCCTCCTGAACCCCAGCTCAGTCCCCACAGACAGCCCCTCAAGGAGCTTCATGGGACCCTGGTGATCCTTTTCCTGTGTACCTCCTCTGGCAGTGGGTGGCCCCCCTTCCCCATCCATCTTGAGAGCTGCCTGAGGGCTCAGGAGGGTCCCAGAGAGGCTGGGGGGTCCACTCACCACCCACAGGGCTGACAGGGGCGCCTGCCCTGGCCCCAGGAGAATGACCAGAAGAGGATCCGCGCGCTGAAAAAGGCCAACAAGGAGCGGGACCTCAAGAGGCAGCGCCTGCGAGAGCTGGCCAAGGCTAAGCAGGAGATGTCGGCCCTGCGGCTGGAGCACCAGCGGCTGAGCACCAAGCTGCAGGAGTACTCCATCTTCAACAAGTACCTGGAGAAGGTGGTGGAGAACTCGGAGGTGGGTGCCAGGGAGGAATAGGGAAAGGTCTCGGTGCCCGTCCCATCCCCATCTCCTCCTCCCCTGGGCCTGCGCCCCTGGGTGGCATTGCCCTCATGGCTTCAACGCAGCCCGCAGAAGGCTGGATTTGGTACCCGTGGTCCCCAATCATGTCTCCCCAACCCGTGCAGACACCTCCTCTTCAAGACACCACCCCTGGGGATGTCTACTCGCCCTGGACACACACACACACACTCTCTCTCTCTCTCTCTCTCTCTTCCTCTCCTCT